CAAAAAAACACCCTCCAGACCCCAACCCCAACCAATACGAGCAGTGTAGCGATTGTAAGCATCTTACATTTCCAATGCTCATTTGATGCAACTCCAGTGTCAAAACCCAAATAACTGAACGAGAAGGAGTTTAGTGAAACCGTAATTACATAAATTTTTCAAAGCATAAACTTGTATTTTCGTCTTGGAAATGTTATAAAATTTTTAATAGCAAAACATAGGAATAAAAACATATTAACAAAATGTATCCAATCATTTACATTACAAACAAGGAATTTGCAGTTCATTGTTGTATTCTGACAAAAGACGACTGACTACCCATTAAGAATCTATGCACAATGTGATTGCAAATATGTACAGGACTTTAAAAAGGCCTAGAAGGAGGACTTCACAGAAGGAAAGTCGGCTAGGCTCTTTGTTAGAGCAACCAGACAATCAAAATATGAAAACTCTGTTGCCTAGTAATAAATTTACACTTAAAAAGAACCCCAGTTTCCTTTTGTTTAAGAATATTCCAGTTATATTCTATGGTTTCGGTTGATAAAGCTGTTTTATGATAGTTCTGGTAACTTACCCTTCAGACGACGTTTGGGGGAAGAGATGGGCGTGTTAACCAAAGTTAACAAAGGAATTTTCGTCAGCATAGTTTTCAGGTTAGTCTGTCACAGCTTCACAAATGGACTGACCCCATGAATACGGTGGCCGAAAGAGCTGCTGTCCAGTAGTGAGAACACAGGGGAGGGAGGGCGGAGGCCCGCGTGAATGAGTCAGTTGGAAGTGATGGGTTAGGTAGAGACAGAGACGGGAGAATTGTTTACACAGCACGAGAACCCCGCCCCTGCCCTCGGCTCTCATCCCCAGTCCTGCAAGGCAGTGAAGCTGGACGTCACAACGGTCCAGTGTAACAGGTTGTGTGAATTAGTAGAAAACCCCTAGACGCAAGGCTGAGACCTTCCCCGCTGTCCGATCAGGACACCCGACAGGCTGAGCGGTTCCTCGTGGCCATCACGCAGCTACTGCCACCCAGTGAAAGCGTGTGCAGAACAGAGGACTCTTGCGTTCACAGTAAAGGAGGTAAAATCAAGTCGTCTTCAGGAATTAGGGAGTTCGTGAGATATGAATTGTTTTAGTCTTTCTAGGTACTGTGCGTAAAGCTCTATGTCATTATGCCCGGCCCCTTCAACCCAGAGGGGCTCCACAGCTCGGGGACAGCGCTCATACATGGCCAGGCCGTGGGAGAAATCGATGACTTCATCCTCCGTCCCGTGAATGACCAGCACAGGAGACGTCACTTTAGATATCTTGTCAATGCTGCAAACGGGCGGGGACAGGGAGAGAAAGGTCTCCTTTAGTTACGCTCACAGATAACGTCACAATGAACTGAACCAGGCTCGCAGGCGAGGACGGTCACACTGTGGGGCTCCCCCCTCCCCCATTTTTCTAGTAATTCATTTTTTTAAAAATGCTTTTCGTTTTGGGATAATTTCAGATTTATGGAACGGGGCAAAGATAATACAGAGTTCCTATACACCCCTAGCCAGTTGCCCTGGGGTCGCCACTGTCTACTATCACGTGACCTTTGTCAAAACCAAGAAGTCCACCTCGGCACACTGTTAACTGCGCTCCGGCCTTCACGTGGATGTCACTGGTTTTTTTCACCAATGCCCTTTTTCTGTTCCAGGATCCGGATGAGAATACCGCACTGCACTCAACCACTGTGCTTTTGTTAAAAGTGTTTTATTAAAAACAGAACTCCTAAAAGCCATCAGACTAACAAGCTGGTATCTAATATTTCTGATATGTCCACAATTTTGAGAGAGGATTTTTAAAACAATAAACAGGCTGGAGCTCAGCGTATCTGGATGATAATGTCTCCCTTGAGAGCTGAGCACTTAATCCCGGCCCCTGGGTTTTGGGAAGTCTCCTCTGAGAGCTGTCTACACAGCCGATTAACGAGACTCTCACAAACCACACCGGGTAAAAGCGAATGCCTCGTTTTTGATAAAAACTCTACTACTTAGCTTGAAAACTTACTGTAATGCCTTCACTTGATTCTGAGAGATTGCCGACTGTTTACAAAAATCAAATCCACCCTCCAAGGAGGAATATTTGAGGATCTTCAAAAGAATGTGCTACAGGCTCTGAAAACATTTCCCCAAGAGGAATGCGAGAGATGTCAAGCCTTGCTGGGCGGGGTGTGTACACTTCCCCAAGGAGGTCACTTAACCTGGGAGCGAACGGAGAAAGGGGAAAATCTCCATCCAGCCTGTCCCAGCCTGTCCCCCACCAAAGTCGCTCTTACAGCTGACTTCCCATCCAGCATTTGATCAGCATTACAAAGGGAAGCGAACTGGGCTCCACAGGGATCTCTTCGCTAAAAGTAATAGCTAACATTTGTTAAACATTGACCTCGGCCAGGAGCCTGCCCTTTGCCTGCGAAGCCTCCTTTAATCTTCAGTGAGACACCAGCGTGAGAGGAGAGTCTGTCCCTGTTCACCAAGGAGGGGTCTGAAGCGCAGAGAGATCACTAAGTAACAGGCCCGAGAGGCTGTGGTGATAACAAGCATTTGTGACATCACTCACACGCCCCAGCGATCTACAAACAACTGTCACGCAGCCTTTATGAACCACTCAGGAAGCTGCCAACCACTTCGAGACCTCCGGGAGGATGGCAAAACCTCAGCAGCCCTGTCATCCGCCAAAGAAAGGCAGAGCCATGGTGGCAGCATTCAATTACGCAGATTATGCATTTTGTTTACAAACTTAGGTTTCCTCTGCATTTAATTTTACAGTGACTTCTGCTAAGAACGCAAGAATCCGATCATAGTCCATTGAAAAATACATTTACTGGCAGGTGGAAGGGGCTGTGCTCTACCCTGCACGATTCAGAAGAAATCTCTAAGACCTGGAAAGTGTATCTCAAGTTAAATGCCACCGTCTGATTCTAAATGTAAAAGAGGTAAATGGAGATAAACTACCGGCCAACGATCATCAGGACGCCTTTATAGTTTTTTAATATTCAAAGAGGGACACGAGACAACTCTGCAATGCGTTTGGTAGCGACGGACATGATTAGAAGATATTCTACCACGTTCCGTCAGCGAGGACCGTCACCGTGGTTGGACTCTCGTGTTGCTACTTCAGGGGACCGAACGGGAGGAATGCCCTCCTTTCCCGCACCCCCGTCTCCACTCACCAACCTTAATTAAGCGAAATGCTTAACTTGGTCTAAGCCTCAGTTTCCTGAACTACAGTTTCCTGTAACTTGACCAGCTTCTTGAGGCTGTTTCGAAGACTGACAGAATGGTCAGCCCGATGCCTGGAGGATCAGACACACCCAGTAGAGATTAGTTGCTGGTTTACTATTAATTAACAAGGTGCAATTAGTTATCAGGGCTGTTAACTAATTTTAAGACGCCTGCTCATTCAGGAGTCGGGAAGAAACCCATTCATTTTGTTGCCAAGGTAACTCCCTGCATGGCTTCCCACGGACGGGCTGAGAATCTCCCTTCTAGCGAACTGGCCTCTCGTTCCCGATTCAGCATAAATGAGGCCACATCTGAGACGTCCGCCAGCCCCACTTAGCATTCCCGGCCACGCCACTAGAAATCTGCAGCTAGCTCGAATTTCCCAAGAAGCCCAATTTCACTGAATTCTGGCGCCAAGTGCTCAGAACTGAAGTTCACCCAAGGTGCTAGCAACAGGCTTCTTCCTGCGGAACGAGAGACCGTCTGTGTAACAGACATCTGTGTGACCCAGTGGCGTCTTCCGCCCGCCCCTCCAGCCCGGCAGAAGATGACAGCGATTCACGGGTCAATCAAAATCCCAAAACTGTACATGGTTTCTGCTGAGGCTTTTTCTGCATGAGCCAGCCAGTCATGCAGCAAACCACCTCGGACTACTTCGCAGCCACCGCATACCCAGGGAAAGTTTAGGGGGCAGAGTTTTTATGACGAATATCGTCCTCGACGTAGACTGAAAACGAGGAGAATTTTCACACAGAGGTGTTCGAGAAGCCACTGTGCATGTGTGTGGCTTTGGCATTTATAGCTCAGTTGCGTGATTTCCTTCCTTCTGTTCATGAGAACTGGAAAAAACCAGAGGCTGGAGTGACGGTGACCCCCGGCCCGCGGTCACACGCTTCCCAGGGCGGGTGCGGGCCTGTCGCGGGGTGAGGTCTTCTGGCATGAGTGGGAGGGCAGGATGAAGGGAAGGGCTCAGGGGCCTGGGCTTGCGTGGGGGGCTTTCACTTCCACTGTCCCTGTGGCCGTCACCAAAGCACGGGACTGGCTTGCAAAGAGCTCACTTCGCCTTTTGCCCCCTAGCTGTACTGTCGCATGGGAAACTAAGGGAAGCCTCGAGACCGTGGACGCTTGCAGTCTGTAACTGAGTGTGGGGACCCCTCCGACAAGCTCGTCGCGCACTCCGCATTCGGCTGCTCGTGATTCGGCCGTGCACGTCCATCTGAGGAGGTGACGGAATCCTGAACTCTATCTAAGTCCCTTCCGGATCGGTGGGTACTTGGGATCCTGCACGTGCGGCTGAATCAGGGAAGCCTGGCTATCGGTATGAGCAAGGTCCTCAAGTCATCGGGGAGATTTCACAGATGAGTCAGGCCCACAGGGCAAAGTCTGCCACTGGTGCGTGTCATGCTCACCTCCGTGTCCCCTACGTCACCAGCCCCGGCGTGACGGATGGCTGCATCCAGCAAATATTTACTCATGGCGGCCCGCGATCCGAACTCGGGTCGCGAGACGCCCACCGCCCGTGGCGCGGGCATGAGCTCACCTGGGGAAGGCGTCGAAGCAGTAGGTCTTCCTGGTGTCGGGAAAAGCCACGCGCAGGCCGGACGTGAGGGGCGAGTGCAGAATCACCGCGGCGCACTCGTACCGCGAGGCCAGGTCCACGGTGGGGACGGTCCCGATGCTCTGGCCGTACAGGATGATGTTCTCGGGGCTCACGCCGTACCTGCGGAGGTCAGAGGTCACGTGCCATCAGCCACCGAACGGGAGAAAATGAAAGACAAAACCCACAGCATCTCAGACTCCGAGCTCCCACATCACGTCATCGCGCTTGGCGCTTCAGCTGGACGTGAACGTGAACGTCACAGACCTGGCTCAGGAGGAAGTGACTGCGGGGCTACCTCGTAAAACATTCTGCAAAAATAATGACCTTGACTTTCCTGTCTGGACAATTAACCAAATAAACGCACCGTAAACTTCATTTCAGTATTTACAGAGTCGTTTCCTTTCTTCTTCTTGCCTCTTCATAGTTTCTCTGATAATCCTAAATACATTTCTGAAATTTTAAAAAAAGCGTGCTCGGCGAACTGTACTACTGTTACTAAGAACCCTTCGAGCGAGGCTGTAATAACCCATAAAAGTTGATGATTAACGTTTAGTACAGAGCTACTGGGAGATGATTAATTTGAAGACGATTCTATCTCCCTTAGCCTCTTCCTGGGGAGACACCCTTCCAAGTCTTCAGCCCATCGGTGGTCTCCCAACCCCCCACCCCCCGACTTTTTAATCGGGCCTTGGCCATGTGAGACACAGGCCACACACAGCCAGGCACATTCGCCACGGACGTAAGGCCTTGTAGACACACAACTAGAAATCCGTACGAGACAGCCTGTGGAACGTGTCCACACGGCTGCAGAACCCCGACGTGCATCCCCTGCCTGCTCGGCCCTGTCCTTCTGGTCCGTGTGGCGTTCTGTGGTTGGTGAGGGGGCCGCTGTCCAGTTGCTGACTGCTGACCTGCTTTCTGTCCACGGCCTCTCCCTGACTCACGCTGACCGCACGCGCTTCCCGCTTCCATCCTGGCTTCTCCCTTCCTCCCAACCGGCCACCACGTCCGGCCTGCCCTCTGCTCTCCCAGACCTGCCTCTGCCCGGTTCCCACTCACGTTGCTCCCCACTGCAGTCCATCTCGTGCATTCCCACGGGGTTCGGCCAACCACTATCCGTGGGATGGACGTCCACACCCCCAGCTTACCCTCCACCCGGCCCCACCTTTTCTCTCCAAGTGAAGCCTCCATGCCGCAGTTAGAGTCCTCACGGCTCGGGACACAGAACGTGACACGCGTCTCCCTCCTCACCCACCCACGGAAAATCCTGGGGTGCGCGTGAATTTTCTTCCCTCGGTCGTTCACTCAGGCACTTACCACTATGGCAGTGCGGGTGGCGTGACCTACATACTGTCACATTTTCGGCTCCGCAAGGGCAGGTGAAATTGTAAACCCCTCTGGGGTCAGAGACTGGCACACGGGAGGCATTTCTCGTTCTGAATGGGACGAGATTCTAGCCAAAGGTCGTTTTTGAAGAAATTCTAACCACATTTCACGTCGTGCTATCGTTCCAGTTGGTATTAAGCCCACTCCAGTCTAAATCTTTGGGGGGGTCTACGAGGAGCAGAACCTTGTCTGCAAACTGCCAAACACCGAGCCAGCCATCGAGAACGGCAATAATGCTGAGTGAGCACGAACGTGCTTGGCCACTAGGTAAGAGTTACTTAAAACACAGCCCAAAGAATAAAAAGTCTCCCAATTTTGCCAGGGAAACCTACGATTTTTGCTCCCAAGCTATCCAAACACGCACCATCTTCCTGCGGCCACGAGCCAGGCTGAGCTCAGGGGGACCGTGAACATTTTAGGTGTCAGCTCCCACTCGGCATGGAGGACGTGTCCCCAGGAGCCCCCGGAGCCAAGGACACGCCCGCAGCACTGCGGCCAGAGCCGGAGCTGAAGCGGGACGGTCCCGTGGGAACGTTCCCTCCGCGCACGAGGTCAAACCTGCTGCGTTCGCTTCCAGGCCAGGCTCTGTTTTCCGACTGCAGACGTGAACACGCTGGGCCTCCAGGACGCACTGCATCCTGTTTAAGCGAGCGGGCCTTGACTCTGTGCCCTGCCAAGGGCGTTCTATCTTCAGAAGCCGCACGCTTGGCGCGGTGCCCCTGACTTTGAAGTCGAGGAGTATCTTAAATATTTCGGATCTAGAATTCCCGGCGGAAATAGCTGTAGCCGTGAGACGGAGATAAACACACGCGGTAACCACGAAGGTCGACGGAAGGATGAGGCCCGCGGGTGCAGGGCAGCCCTAATCCACGCGTGCACGGCCTCGCAGCGAGAGGGTCCCCAGCGGGGGCGCCTCCCACTTCCAACACCAGGGAGCTTGCGAAAAGCAGCCGTCGCCGCAAGGCGCTTGCTTCCCCGTTTCTCTTTTTAAATGCTCGTGGGTAGGCCGAGACGTTTTTGAACACGATACTGCTGTTCCACAAACAGATTTCTCCCGGTCGTCAATTCCGACGGCGGGAGCGAAGGGAACCCGTGTTGAAGTCCCCGCTGAATTACACCGTCTGAGCGAATCGGAAGTGTTCAATGCTAACGACGTCAGCTGTTTGTTTCTTTTCTTTTTTCTTTTTTTTGTTTCTGACCGACGGAACGTGGCCGAACAGGACGTCTACACACGAGACCCCGATCGCCTCTGGAAGTTTTAAGAGCTTGAGCACGATCCAGGTGTTCGCTCAACACTGGCTCCAACGTAACCTGCGCCAAAGGCAACATTAAAAGCGCCTCCTTCACTCCGGGGAACGTTCAGCCTACCGGGGATACGCCACGAGTCTTCGGGGAGATAAAGAAGGAGATGCCCACCGAGAAACGACACTAAAACCAAGTACGAGTTTAGGCGAAACGAATATAATAGTCAGTAAGTTTATCTGAGTACAGTGAAAGGAATGATGGAGATGTCAGGACACGCAGGAGGAGAGCTTGAAGCGTCGCAGAGCGGGGAACGGGGACTGGACCTGGCTGGGCTTGGGCCAGGCTTTTCCCCTGGGGAGCAGAGGGCTGTCAAAGGAATGTCAGCAAGATGCCAAGGCGATGCAGACTGGGACGCGCCGTGGCACCAGGCAGGAAGCCGATGATTAGGTCGGAAGTGCTCTGACCCGCTCGGACCGGATGTGGACATGTGGACGCAGCCAGCGCGGGTAGGGACAGAGAGATGCCAAGGCCATTGTATGGATAAAGGCTGGGAAAGCTGGCACAAATAGGGAAGTTGGGAAGGAGATAAATGGGTGTTTGGAATTGTGTTTGCTTTATTGGGAAGTCAGTTCAATTTGGGAAAACAGGGACTGTCAGGTGACTGTGAGACATCCTAGGACAGCACAGGAAAGTCAAACCCTCGGGGTTCATTGTAAGAAAGATCTTCCTGAAAGAGCCTGATGTCTATGCCACACAGACCAGCCCCCGGGTGCTCCTCACCCACCTCCCACCGGGGCACAGAGGGAGCAGCTGGAAGGAGGCGGCCGGAATATGGGGCCAGACCGAGAGACAGGAGGACAGCTAGTGGCAAGGGCTCAAGGAGGGACCCAACGGCCCTGCTCCCATGGAGATGGGCAGATCCAACCTGAAACCTGTACACAGAGACAACGTGTCCCTTCCTCCAGTAGGCTGCTGTGACAGTAACATAACGCACAGAACCACACGGGCATCCTGGGACGCTGTAACGGGCGGGGGAGGGGAGCTTGGAGTGGGGACGCGCACGCCAGTAAATGTAGCCTTTCTTAAACTTATGTCAAAATGTATCGAGACACACCTTATCTCATTTTTGCAAACCGGCACCCTCTGTCACGTATGGCGCTTCGTTCTAGGCCAGATGTTTGAATTTCCTCCCAAACGCTGGCGCGGGGGAGGGCTTTCTGGGTCAGGTCTTAGCCCACCTTCGAAGCAACTTAGTTCTGTGTGTCACTCAAGGCTGTTCCTTACACCTACAACATTCTTCCTCTGCGTCAAAGCGAAAGTAAACAAGACCCGGCATGGCTTAATTTTTAATTTTTAAGAAAGTCATTTTTTCAGAGGAAATAGGGATAGTCCTAAACGATATAAAACCGACTCTCTCTAGATGCGTGACGATTGAAATAGAATAATGTGCTTGAACTAGTGTGAGTATAACCGTGCAAGAAATTGTTCTCACGATAAAGGAAACTTTCTTTGGCGTTCTCTAATTAACATGCAGGAAAAGCCGGAAAACGTAGCCTGCCCACCACGGCTGCACAAACCCCTACGAGACACTTAGACTCCACCTCCCCTAGCATTTTCGAGAGGATTTTATGAGCGGGTTTCTGTGAAAAATCTAGCATCTGGCAAAAGCCACTGAATAAATGTCGCTCACGTCAACACCAAAGGCGGATTAAAGACCCCTAACCAAAGTAAAAGTTCTCCCCACTTCACAGGTAAGTTTATGAGATTATGAAATTTCCGTCACGGGCAAAAACCTTAAAAACATAATCCCCCACTGGATGGCCAAGGCTGACAGTTACTTCTTAGAACCAGAAGTTCGGGAGTCCGGGTTCTAGTTATTTTACCCCATTGTAGGTTGTGTTCTTACAACGGCTGCAACACACAAGACACTACCAGGCAGTCGCTGAGTTGGCCCTGCATGGCCGTCATGTGCCGGTGACTAATGATCGGGGAACGAAACCTCGCCAATTCCTTTAGCTCCTGCACGAAAACCCCACTGGCATCCTTGGTCTCACGCGGGGGACAGAGGGCATTTCTGACCCGCTGTATCTTTCCAGAGCATCTCTCCCCCTGCCCGCCCTGGAGCTGCAGGTGTGGACACATGCTCGGCTCGGCCCCAGGGATCACTTCAGGTGTGAGCATGGCTGGGCCGGGCGTCCGCACCCGCTCCTCCTGAGCCTGGGGGAGGGCGGCTCTGTCACCGCACGTGAGCACCGCCTCAAGAATCATTACCGAGGACAGTGAAGCCGAGGGGACGAGGGGGCCTGGGAACCGGTGCCACCGTCGGAGGCCCTGCACCCCGCCGCGGTCTCCTGCAGCCCCCTTTCCTCGGCCATGAAGGGGTGCAAGTCTTGCCCCCTGGGCCTGGACATAAGATGACATGCCATCTCAAACCAGGAGGCTGGACGGCTCCGTCAGCTCGGGCTGGGCTGCTGCCTGAGTCCACTGTCTATTCTGTTAAACGTGGTTTTGTGCACGCGACAGGGAAGCCTGTCAGGTACTTAACGCTCCCGTCGGGCAGAGGCCCCTGTCCGTCTGTGGTGGCAGCTTCGGCCCTTTCTCTGGGGTCTACTCTCCCTTTGCTCCTGTCTTGTGTCCTTCGTCCTTGTGTTCCCTCGTCTCCTCTCTGCTGCCAGACCCTCTCAGTTCCCCCTGCGTCCTTCTTAAAAGCCTAGAAGTTCACGGCATCCATCAGAGACGTATCTCAAACCACGGGGCAGGCCGGAGAGGCCCGTAGGGCTCACGGGGATGGGCGACTTTGCTTTCTAGATAAGGAACCTAAGCCCTGGGCGGGTTACTGACCGTCCTCAGGCTTGTCATCATCGTGCAGACAGCTGCTCTGAGCACGTTACAGCTCCAGGGTACAAACTGAACCAGGGGAAGAACCGTGAACTGTGTGAATCGCCACGAGCTCACAGAAGCATCTCTCAGTCGGGCCGCTGCAGCCGAGCTCAGCACCGCCGGACGCCCCGCCTGCTTCTAGTGAGTTAGGGGCGTGCGGCCGACCCTGCTCCTGGGTACAGGCCAGTGGGTGGGCAGCTGCCCGGCCATGGTGGTCATCACCCCCTTTAACTCACAGGTACGGCGATTCGAAATCCACAGCGCCAACCCGAGCACGGCAGGGGTGAGCCGTGCCTTCAAAGTGGACGTTCCACTCAGTGGGGACAGGGGAACGTGGGGGTGACGCACAGTCCCGCAGATGGATGCAGGTGACGGCCGCACAGTCACGTCAGCCTACCTAGGGCCGCGGAACCGCACGCTCGAAATGGCTCAAACGGCAAACGTGACATGATGGCCACTTTATCCCCGTGAAAGGAAGGTAAGAAGTGACGAGCCCGCTGGGTCCGACTTGTACCAATCCCTCCCCTACCAGGGAGCACGAAGCAGAAATCCCGGCTCTCCTGAATGCAAAGTGAGATTTTACTGTGACAGTGAAAACAATGAGTAGCAAACAAACTAGTGATAAACGGTGAAATTTTTTTTTAACTGTAATCTCTTCAAAATCTAAACACCTTAATTACAATTTACCAGTCACATAAGGTAAAAAGATGACAAAGACAGACATGCAGCTAACATTGTGATCTTTCACAAATGTAGCAGAACACGCGGCTCACGACCGACCCGACCCGTATCTCTGGGAGGAGGTGGCAACTCTGTGTCATCTAAACATCGCTCTGACTTCCCCGCCACTAACACCTTGTTACCTTTGCCATCCCCTCTCCACCTGGCCTCTCTCCACCTAGGATTCTTTTCTTTTTAAGCAAAACAGAGGAGAACGGCTCCTCGGGAGGACCCGACTCTGCCATCACGCCTCTTCCCTTCTGGAGCTGCAGGGAGTCCCCTGGGAACCCCACAGGAGGAGGCCGGGGCGGCCCCTGCAAACGTATGCGACGTGTTTCTCATGGAGGTACCTCGCGTTGGAACCAAACCGCACCGGAATTCCAATTTCTGTATTTGAACACTCAAGGGCGGCTGTCAGAGAGGTCGTCTGCCTTCTAAGTGGTCACCCCCGGCCTGGCAAAGAGGGGTTTGGGGACGGCACTGGCCGGGCCAGATCCGTCTCCGCGACCTACAAATAGCAGCCGGCCCCTGCGTGACTCAGCGGTCACAACCCGCCCTTCCCCCACCTTCCATTTCCAGTCATTCTGAAATCAGGCCCGGAGCTAACTTCAACATTACACTTTCATTAAAATACTATGTAGCCTCTAAACATCACAAAGCAAATGCCACACAGCCTGACTTATCGTAAACAGGAAGCCTTCCTGCGGCCACTAAGAGCACCGAGCGCCATGCCATGAATAATTCAGAAATACCCGCTGGCCACACTCCACCGAACGCACTTCACTGGGACCTGCCACGACGTCTTTACGACCCGGGCCTGGGAGCCTGACAACCAGATTTCGTTTCTTTCACAGACAACGCGAGCCCGTGATGACACGTCTCCCCGGGAAAGGCACTCGCAAAGCTCTTCGCCCCGCAAGCCCACGTGTCAGCCCGCGCCCTCGACCTCTGTGTCCCACGCGCAGCCTGTCGTGCGCCTGGCTCGTCCCTGGCGGGGCGTCACGGGCCGGTGAGCTTTCGCGGGACGGAAGCAGACCCCGGCTTCTGCTCTGCCGCGAAGCTGTGGACGCCCCAGACTAACACCACATGGCCGCGTGCACCCCACACACGGAGGGGCCTGGAGGTGGCGAGCTCCCTCCCCGTCCGCCCCACGGGAATTCCGGAAATGGCCAGGCCACCGGAAGCGGAGGCCGTGTGCGAGGGGCAGGCGCGCTCCGGGGCACCCCTAACCCAGGCAGCACCCAGAAACCGGCTGCGGAATCTGGCTCTCCTTCCTTCATTCTGAGCTTCAGAGAGGCGTCCCCTTGTCCAGGTGGGGCTCAGCCATGGCTCCGTGTGTCCCCTTCCTGGCTGCTCGCCTGGGCCCCTCCTGTCCCAGCTGTCATCGCCATGCCAGCGGTCACTGTGTCCCCAGCTCGGCTTCCCTGGCTGGGTCCTCTCCTCCTCCTCAGCCCACTGGCCCCTGAAGCCCTTCCAAAGACGCCAGTGGATGCTTCGCCATGTTGAACTTACAAGTCCCTTTCCTCGGTCCCGCAAAGTCCCTGCATTATTATTTCTGGTCCATCTGACTCCTTCTGGACAATTTACCGTGGTTTGTGAGCTCCCATCAAGCCAAGGTGATTTGCAAAAGAACTTTACGACGGAATTTCAATCAGTCGAGAATTGTTTTTCTTTTCCACTTGAAACTCAAAAGAAATCAAAATGATATAAAATCTTGTATAAAGTACTAACGAATGCTTTCAACACCAGAGCTCTGTTTTTATGCCTTTTTATCTTGAAAAAAAAAGAAGCCTATTTTCACCGTCTTCTACAACCTATTAGAATTCCTCAGGTTTAAAACGCCGCAGAACAATATGGCCAGCATGTTTACAGAAACATTAAGATTTTATGACCATTTCAATCAAACTCATGACTTCTTTGGCACAAACAAAAGCTATGAGCGAGGTTATACATTTTCCTAATGTGAATATCTGAATCAAGCATTACCTAATGAACACCTCAGCCGAGCCTTTCCTGCCCGGCTGGTCACACGCGCGCGTGCTGTCTGGGTTCTCTCGGTGGGGGCCTCCCGGGACCAGAGACAGAGAACGGACGAGCCATCCTCAATCACTCGGTGTCCTCCACGCCCGCGGAGCCAGGAGCCGAGGACACAAGAATGAACGCGGACATGTGGGCCTCATCATCTGTTGGTCAGATCGCGCGGCTGTTTTTATTCTGCTTTTAAAGTCTTGTTGATGTGGTTCCCAAGGCTGATGCTCGGGCGTGAACGCGTGGAGATTCTGTGCTTTCCGAGATTTAATTTGATGAATCGGGAGACGATGCCGTTTCAGCTTCCAAAAGATTCTCGGTTTTATTCAGAAGGAAAGACCCGAAGTTCAGTCGTTTACCTGGTTCCGTTGACCTTGACTCGGACGTAAGAAAGTCAGAGCATGAGGCCTGAGCCCACAGGCCACCACTCCCGACTCCAACATCTGAGAAACGCCTAGCGGGGCCTTGAGCAGACGGGGGACGGGTCTGCCTTTGGACATCACATCCGTCAAGCAAGGGGAGTGGCTCGGGCGGGGTCTGCCTCCTCCAGCTCCCCCTAGGCACCGTCCCCCCCACCCCTCAGCCCTGCCAGGTGAACAGTCACAGGGCTCCGACCAGACCCCAGGCACACTGGGCAGGGAGGGTTGGGGTCAGTCTGCGGTGAACGACAGCCACACCGCAGGATGACCTGTGGTGGGTGGCGATGGCGTGCCACACCGTATCGAATCCCGGCAACCACCTGCCAGGTGCTATCATCAGTCCCTCTGACCTGACGACGGGGCAGCCGGGTCAATCGGCCAAGGCCACGAAGCCGGGAGGTGGCCGGGCCTGGCTCTGAACTCACGGCGGCGGGTGCCGCCTCCGCAGCTGAGCCCCTCGTCTCTGCGTCTCCCGGCCAGGGCTGGCGGCAGCAGCCACACGGGTCCTCAGTGCAGAGGGGAAGCCAGCCGTGCAGGGGGGCCTGGCACCCCTGCCCCTTCGCTGCTGTCACCTGACCCTTCCCCAAACACCACATCCACACCTTCACGCGACGAAGTACCAGGACCTTACCGGGGAAATCCCCGAATTCACGGCGGCGGCCCGGTCACTGGCCCCACAGGCCTCGGGGGCGCACAGACCACTGTGTGCAGCCCGAGGGCCACACGCCTGGGACCACGGTTCTCACTGCGCCGTCCCTTCCCGCCCACTGTCACCCACTGCCCTCCCGGCCACCTCGGGAAAGCGCCTCCATTTCTGGAAAGCGATCGCAGTCTAGCGCTTAAAGAACGCTACGTTAGGGGGTCCTAGGGCTGAAGAGGGGCTCTGAAGAATTTGGGCTATTCAAACGTTCTCGGAGGGAAAGGCACAGAGGACATGCCTCACCCAAGGGGCCACCTGCCAAGCCACCGCGAGGTCTGAACGGCTCCGCTCGAATTTCTCCAGGAACCAGATGCAGCGCCTCGTCCTCCCGCCTAACTGGCCCAAGCCTCTAAAGTGGCCCGAGCTCCGAGGCACGGAGCAGGAACCGTCGAGCTTTCCACGTCTGCAAGAGCCCACCAGCCCCCGGGAACGTCTGAAAAGAAGGGACCGGACCTCTGCGGAACCTCAGTTCCCGGGTCTGCAGGGCTACGTGCTTTGGCTGGTTAGTTTTCGTGCCCCCGACTCATCAGACCCTCACGCCCAGTGAGCACCCGCTCGCTCCTTCGGATGGCATGGCGCTGGTAGGCACGGCCCCTGTGCCCTTCCCACGCAGGCCTTTGACTGTTTGACTCTGGTTATTCTCCAAGAAACTAGGGTTATAAAAACTTAATAACAGTGGTTACATAACTAAGCTAACAAGGACACGCTACTCGGTACAGGATCTGAAAGACTAATCATGGGACTTGTTCTGAAAACCGGCTAAGGAAAGGCGTGTTTCTCCCTTCTCCCTGCCCCTGGAAGCCCGCCCCAGACAAAAATAAAAATTATTAAAGAAAACGATAAAATGAAAAAGAACAGCTCTCCAGACCGCTTAGGGCAGAGCGTCCGCTACCCACGGACCCCGGACTGGAAGGCACCACGCTTTCCAGTGGGGACAAAACAGGGCACGCTGTGTGGGATGGAAGGCAACACAGAATGTTTTAGAAACATCTCGTCAGGAGAAGTTCTGGTGTTGAGAAGAACACCCAGCAGGCCAGGCCACCCTGACGTTCTGCGCCTGGGACCAGACTGGACCGCAGCCTCGCCCGTCCCAACACCGCGCCCGGCACGCACGGGCCACTCGGCCGCCTCCTGCGTGCACGGGACCCCGGAGAGACCCAGAGACTCAGAACCGCCAACCCCACGTCAGCGTCATCGCGTGGCTCAGTGAAAAGCTGAGCCTACGCGAAACGTCCCTCCGGCTCAGAAAACTCCTGGAAGTTCAGAACGCGGTGCGGGAGGGAAGGGCGAGATCGAGCTCAGAGGTGAAAACCGACGGCTACGACAGTAACTTAGCTCAGGGGCCAGAAGAGGAGGCCGCGGAGACCTCCCAGGATGTCAAAGGGACTGGGCCGGGAGAGGCGTGGGGGAGAGGCCTCGAGGTCGGCGGAACAGAAGCCACACCCGCAGACAGCTTGGGGATGGACCTCCTGGCCACTGCGGTCACAGCCGAGCTGACGACGTGCTGTTGGGGCCGGAGGCAGAAGAATTCAGACACCGAGGAAGGCAGAGGGCGCGAGACCAGGCAAGTCCACTGCTTAAAAATCACAAACGCCACCCACGAAGACCCCAGAGGAACTATCAAACACCGAACGAAGCCAGTGGGACTGCACGACTAAGGAAAATCCTCATGCTTCTGAGCAGAAAGTCCACCGACACTGTCTAAAGTTGCTCCTGGGTGCTGGGGATAAGGAGGAAGACCTGACTGTGGCTTTTCGTCATCATCTCTTCTGTTAACCCGTGACTGCGCGCACGTGTCATTCAAGTGAAAAATGTGAAATTCTGCCACGAAGATGCCATACGCCTCTCGCGCCATTTACGACTGGGTTTCTTCTCCCTGGCTGCGCCCAGCCCCACCTCGTGCTGCCCTTCCTCTAAGGCGCCGGAGGCTAATTGACGGGAATCACACAGAAGAGTCTGATCCAGAAGTCAAGACTGAATATTAATAAGGTCACTGGCAAGGAGATACTGTCGGGCCAAGTGGGGCTTAAAATCCCAAGAAGATATTTAAGACCTTCAACGTTGGTTTTAAAAAGATTTTAAACTATAAGCTAGAGACCGCCTTGTCAGCAGTTCATGGGGACGGGGGCGAACTTGAGGGGAGGGTCTCAAAACGCATCAAAAGGTTTAAAGAAGGCAAAATTCCAATGGGACCGTTAAGAACGCCCCCACAGGCAGTGTCTGACCCCAAACGGCCCTGCTGCGTTATCCCGGGCCACCTTGCTGAGCGTCCAGGCCGGCGTCCCGTGAGGCCAGCAGCAGCCCTACTCAGCAGTGCGCGTGAAACACCCGTCCGAATATTTTATGGCGACGTTTTAAAAAAACGGAGTAAAGAAGTTCTCGAATCGAGTGTGGGCAGCTCCCAGACCTCCCTACCTCACACGCTAGCCAAGCCGCCCCTTCTACCCGCTCCAAGAAAATGCAGCTACGATCTCGGCTGCCAAATATAACATCTTTAAGGATGATTTTAAAAACAAAAATAGGAATGGCAAAAAATCTCAGATCACTGGACCTACTGAAAACATCTGGCTCCAAGAAACCTCCGCCGCCTTCGTTTTCCTCATGCTGCTGTGGGTGGGTGGG